CAAAACGTAAAACCGTAGACGTTCGGTTAGAAATGAAATTAGAACTTTGTTTCCTGCTTCGGAAATTAGATCTTGGCCGATGTTTAACCCGTGGAAAGGCAACTCGGGTATCAGACTCGCATAATTCTCACTTTTATCGCAATCCGTTTATAGTTTCATTGAATTGCACAAGATTCTTCCGTTGGCTCCGCGCATCGGAGATCGCAATTAAGGAGATTAGAGACTTAATGGCCGCAGATCGGATCTAATCGCGATCATATTCGCCGGTCGGTGAATCTTATAAATATCTCGAAACAGATTCGTGCGTCCGCATGGTTCTCAGGCACGGTAAGATCGTTTGTCTTCGCGGTGTAACCCGAACCGGCCTGTCGTCACCGTGACACCTTTTTCATCTCTCGGGACCCCGGTCTTCGCATATTTCTTAAAAACCGGCGAGCTGTCGCTGTCATTTGAATTTCGAGGAATTACTCGTTCGACGCGCTAGCCACTGCCGTTTGGTTATTACGACGATTTTCATAATCGCGACGGAGGAGACAAAGTTCGTCCACTATCAGGCATTGCTAACGTTTTGAGAAAAATGTCTGATCTCTATATTATCGATCTGCGCGCGTTACCAAGTCAGCAGTTTTACTTTATCGAATTTAATGAAATAGAAAAACTTAAGAAACATTTGGTCCGGATTAATGTTCTTCGTTTATTAAGGATACCTATACAGACTCGATGTTCCTCTTCGTCCATTTATCGTAATACAGTAAATTCTCCCTAATTGACGCTCAGCTTGGAAACAAAAATGGACAATTATTTTTTATATTTATATTATATTTATATATATATATATATATATATATATATATATATATATATAAATATATAATATATTTATAATATATTTATGCGGCTCGTTTTTATAGTTGTTGTCCCTATTTTAGAATGCCTATTTGGAATGCCCGTTCCAAATTAGGGGCATAGAATATGAAGCAGGAATGCCAAATGTTCCATAAAATGGGACAATGAAAAAATTCAAGTACGCAATATGATACAGTACGATCTTGCTTAAAAACGCCCGTATTTGAATAAACACGTTTTTGTGTTTCTAAGCAGTATTTCTGCGACTGAATTTATAAAAAACAATGTTCTAAAATGTGGGTAAAATATTTACATCCACCGTTATATGCTCTATTTTCGATTGTATCTGTTTATGTTGCCGTTTCAAGCAGGTAGTCATAATTGAGCGATGTTTCATAACAGGTACTTTTACCTTATTGGTATTGGCATCGAGGTTTGGTGGGCCTACTTTTCTTTTCCCAGCGGCAGGACATCCATCCGGAACGTCCGCGGGTAGTTCAGCGGTGTTTGTCGCGAGCCGCTAACGAGCAAGGTGTCCCCCTCCTCTACCTGTCCCGATCCCCCCGCGAAGGGCACTACTCCGGCTTATATAAGTCTTATAAAGAGCAAAGCGGCGGACCACACACATCCGATCCTATCTGGGGAGGCTTCTCGGCGCGCTGCGCCTACCTTTCCTTCTCTTTTCCTCTTTCCCGCGCCACGAGGACGAGCCACGGGTTCCCTGCTCGGTACGGGAGACGCGCGCGGGCCCGTGGGCCCCATGGGCCCCGCTTGAATGCGCGTCCTGCGCTCCTTTCGCACGCCGGCCACTTAGAGATTACGCTCGATACCGTCGCGATACTCGCTCGCAATTTATTTTCACCGGTTAAACCCTCTGCCTCGCTTCCAGACTATATCGCCCCCCCCCCCTTTCACGTTTCGACCATGCTTTGATGTTATTATTCGTTCTCATGGTCGTCGATTTCGACCGCGTCCAAAATTCTAATCAATTTTTGGACATTTTAATCGGTTCAGCAGTTGACCGCGCGATTCTATGCTATATATCGCGACTTTCTATGGAACAAATCTCATCATCGATTTTTGACTGTGGTTCTAAAATTCTTGAATTATTAGTAAAAGTATATGCGAAGCAGTGATTCGATGGTGTAATAGGCCATTACCATTTCAACGCTAAAACTACTTTCAACTAAAAGTGATACATATAATATAACCTAAACTAATCTAACCTAGCCTAATCCAACTCAACTCAATCTAACATAACCTAACATAACTCAATCCAATCCAACATATTGAGTTACGTTAGGGGTAGTTTAGGGTAGTTTATGTTGTTTTATGTTGGGTTAGGTTGTGCCAAGGTTATGTATTAATTTTAACTAATTAAAATTATTTAAGAAAGCAAAAAGAACACGATTTCTCTGATCTTTGAGATTCGATGATTCTTTTACGAAGGCGTCTTTATAAATTCAGCAACAGTACTGTTACAACTTGTATAGTATGTTGAAACTTACCCCGTTCTGTGGTCATCGAGATAACAGCAACACCGGAAAAAGACAAAGAAAGTAGGAGTTAAAGCTTCGGTTTATCGAAGGTAGAAACGCGATAAGCTTAAAATATTTGATCGTATATCTGAATCGAGCGGGTATTATGCGGGTCGTAAACTTATTCCCTCCTATAGGGACGGCGCCATGTGGTGCTAAAAAATCCATGGCCGCTCTCTATACGTCTAACCTTCGCATAATGTTTGTGCAAAAAGATATACTGGCCCTGGCAATTGGGTGGAATACACGGAACAGACGTCGCAGCGAATTGATCTGTTCTGTTCTCTGTTTTGGGGAACTTCAGAGAACTCGACTGATCTCTATGCTACTATTTACGTACTTGATCATCTTGGAAAACAAATCTTCATTCGTAACTTCAGTTTCTAAACATTTGTATAAAATACCGTCGTATGGTTTCCGTATATTAACGCATTGACAGGCGGCGACCTAAGAGACATTTAAAGCCTGAGCGCCGGCAGGCAACGTATCGGCCACTTAAACCCCGAACGCCGGTCTTATTCGCTTGTTTCTGATCACTGAATAGCCAAAAAAAAATATTTAAAACATTATATATTTTCGTAAAATAGTACATTTTATTTGCATATTCTTCGTATACAAATTAACGGTAATTAAAAATTTGAACAAAATCGAAATTTTTAATTTATAATTATAAAAAAAATACAGTTTCTCATTTCATGGTGGATTATTACATATATATAACGTAAAACGAAAACAAAAGTTTTAATATTTAAGGCAAGTGTGGTATTTCTCGAAACATTGTCCAAGATGTAAAGGTACTAAGCATTCAGCCCGCATAAAGCTACTCTCGCTTCTTTTTTGACCAGCAGAGCAAACTTTACACGGACGTCGTACGTATTGCTTTGCTACTCAAGCAACAGACTCAGAAATCCGCGTTTTCGCGGGGCCGGCTGTCAATGTTTTAATATATTTCTAATGTAGTTTCAGTCCACAAGTTTGTGAAGTTTGAAGACCCATATTTTTGTACGAAAACTTAAATTAAGAAAGGTATAAAGAATGGAATGTTTCGAGCTGCTTACCGTAGTCTCATTGACACTCTTGATGTAGTCCTTGTACGTGCCCGCGATCAGCTTCACGATATTCTCGTCTCCATGCTTTGCAGCCCAGTGCAGAGCCGTCTGTAACAAACAGAATAACATTCGATAGAATAAATCAACTTTTTCTTTAGCAAATAATATTATCAAATACTTTTTTTCGACTATCATCTTAAATCAGGATCGATGATATGTTTTTGTGACTGCACTTCTCGCAAATTAATGTAATTAAAATTATTTTGATAACAAATTACTTTAAATCATCACTGAAAAGCATAGAACGAATCTTCTTACTTTCTCCAGTTTCTTACATTATTAAGAGAAAAATGTACAGAGCATAATTAACAGAAGGGTAGTTTAGCTAAAAAAATATTTTATGAACGTTGACTTCTTTACTGACACAGTCTCTTATAAGGCGAACTAAATTAAATTGTTAATGTTTACCTACGATAGGTTCAGTGTTCTGTGTATTTTTCTTCCTTCACCTTTGTATATTTCTTTTTTTTCTATCTTATGCTAGTCCTTTTATCATTGTACCGGTTAACATTTTCGTTCGTTTCCTCTGTACGTACTTTTATAAATAAATAAATACAATTTATTTCCAACAAAGATAGCAATGTCTGAACGGACAGGGTAAACCACCCGGATGTAATTATGTATTCGTTAGAATGTAACCATAACCATTTAATTCTAATAGATAGTAATATTAGTAATAGTACTATTAGTAGATAGTAGTATTAGTAATAGCACTATTAGTAGATAGTAATATTAGTAATAGTACTATTAGTAGATAGTAATATTAGTAATAGTAATACGGATAATAATATTTGGTTAATAAACCAAATGGTATCTGTTCGATCGTTATATCGGCAATACAAAAAAGCCATAAATCAAGCACCGAAGAGGTATCTTAAAAAGATGAGGCGAACGTACACAGGTCGAATCGGCTCGATGCGATCAGCTCTTTTATCACCGGTATAAAACGCCCGGAACGACTTTAGAGTAAAAAACGAAAGGGAAGGTGAGGAAAAGAGGCGCGGAGTGCGGGGAAGCGGCGTAAAAATACGCAACGAACGGAAATTTACGATCTTCGTCGGCGTGGCCGGGGTTGGTCGCGAATATTTGGGAAAAATCACGACGGTGGCCCGGTTGTAGACACGACGCGAGCAGCTGTAGCGTATTTTCAGAGAGCCCGGTGAAATATTCGCGAATTAAGCAACGGCACCGGGCTACGTCAACCGGAACGAGCTGGATGAATGGCGACGTCGGACAGCACTCGAGAGGAGGAGCACTTTGAGAGCAGTCGATCACCGGGTGGTGCACCGGACGGGGGTTGCAGAGAGGGGAGGCAGAGTCACCGCGAGAGAAACGGAGAGAGAGGGAGAGGAGAGAGAGAAAGAGAACGGTTCGCGGTGGAACAAGCCAGAAAGACCAAGTCGAGGATCGTTGTCGGAGCTCGAATTACTTGGAGGATCACGCCGCGGTCGAGGAAAAAAAGTCTGCACCGGAACTGGCGCGGACCAGTTGGATTCTTGGCTATGGTTCAGATCGACCGTGACGATACGAGGTTCAAACGACGTCGATCGATCGAACGGAGTCGCAAGAATTCCTCGTGCGAAGAATATTTTGCGTTCGAAAGGACGATGTTCTTTGGCTTGTGAGCTGATCTAGGAACTGTTGTCATTGATTTATGAATGATTTCGAAATTAATGCGGTCACGACTTAGGCGAACTTAGGGGATGATGCGTGGACATTTGAGCCATTTATTTTGAAAGCGGCATAAGTCACTTTTTCAAGAAAATCGAGTTGATGGTAACACTAATTACAATTGAACGGTATCTTTTCATTAAAAAAAAAAGTGACTTATGCCATTTTCAAAATAAACGGTTCATTTAAAATCGAGTACAATGTACGCTAAATTAAATATCGTAAACGCTTTTAGTAGGTATGACTAGCCTCGAGAACGAATCGATCTTCTAAGGGATGTAGAGTTTAATGCATTCTTGGTTGACAATGTTTCAGTTATGATCGATGAATATCTAACATTTTGAATTCTAGCCACAGACTACATTCGTTAGTCGTTTATAGTAGAATCAATAAGGGATTCCTGCATGCTGAAGTACTGTAGATCTAATCTAAAATATTCTTCATCCGTCCCTAGTCTGTAGAGTTTGTGAATTCACAGTAAAAGTGGGTTGGTGAACCACGAAATAGTTACAGTAAATTCTCCCTAATTTACACTCAGCTTGTGCACAAAAATGGACAATTTGGGAAGAGAAGATACGATTATTCTCAAATTGTCCATTTTTGTGCACAAGCTGAGCGTCAATTAGGAAGAGAGAAAGAGGAAGAAAGAGAGAGAGAGAGAGAGAGAGAGAGAGAGAGAGAGAGAATTTACTGTATATAGAATAATTTATTAAACATATTTCATTAGAAGAAAAACAAGTTTCTATGCAATACTGGAAATTTGTATTGCGTGTAATGCTCTGGAATCCAGTCATCACAGATCGGAACAGCTATAGCTTTGTGACGTCAATTTTAGAGGAACAAAAGATCGAAATTATTTTTCAAATATCACAAAACGAACAATACATTCTGATTATTTTATAACTGAAAGATCGAACGAGTTAACCGTAGGAAGTTTATGGGGAAGAGACGGATAAATATGTTTTTAATTTTATTCAATTTGCGGGTAATTCTCTGACGCGGCGGGAAACAAAGCGGCGTGAAAAGTAACGGGAGTAAAATATAAAGAGCGTGTTTTTAAAAACCAAAAAACGCCGCGTCCTCGGCGCGTTTAAACGTTGAGTTATATCCGCGGCTTCCAGCTTTGACATCGAGCTCTCTTCAAACGCCCCGGCTATTTCCATATAGCGGGTAATGCCACGGACGGATTATTTCGAGCATATCCGTTATTATTCTTTGCAGGTTACCGCGACGGCTCGTAAATTTAATGGCACCGCTGGACGGCTTTTCGGGAATAATGCGGGACACGCGTACGCTGCCAGTCTCACCGCGCTTAATATCACTCCCCGTTGATACTTTATGCGTGCGCGTTGTTCGCGGTGACACCCGACGAGACTCGCCTCGCTTCTAATAGGTTCCTTTTCCTATAGAGCTTTGAAGGATCAAAACGATGTCCTCGATGATTCATAAATCTCGCTTCAGAATCATTCTCGTTATGGTCGTGTTCCTCTTCGTTCAGTTCCTTGTTCATCCTTCGCTTCCTGATTAGAAAGATGGAAGCTATATTAGGATTATGGTTATAAGGAACAATGTACTGCGTTTGCTAATTTTGGTTGAAAATCTTGAGTCGATGCTCTTTGGTTGCTTCGTTGATCCACAAATCTCATTTCAAATTAATTCTAGTTCTAGTGATCTTCATCATTCATCTTTCGTCGATTTCAGTTATAGATGTCTCTCACTCCCATTTTTATGATATCCGTAAATGTTATATTATAAAATTATTATTATTATTATTATTATTATTATGTTATTTTTTATTATCCGTGAATATTAGCAACCGGACAAATTGAATGCAGCGGTCAAGGAAAAGCGACCAGAATTGGTCGATCGTAAAAGTGTCATTTTCCAGCAGGACAATGCTAGGCCGTCGCAAACTTTTCGACGAAGGCAGCTACCCGAATCAACAATTTTTAAATTCTGGACGTATATAAAATATCGATAGACATGAAATGAATAGTTGAAAAAACCGTCGCAACTTTATTTATCAGTAAGCTGACGGGATCCGGGTCTATTTGGACCCAGAGTTCGAAGCTTGTTATTCGAATACGAAGTTTCTGATAACCAATATCATATTTTTACATTATTTCATTAAGGTTGATAGAAACGGTAACGCGACTGGAAGAAGTGCCATAAAAAATATATTTACAAAAATTAACAAACGAAATTATATACGATCCTGAATATGTATTCTCAGGTATGCCGTTCATACGTACACATTACACAATTACAGTTTCGAAGTTCTCCATCGTAAGACACGGAGTAGATTTCGGTGCGACCAAAAAATGGTTTGGTCACAGAATTCTTGAAAACTGGAAAAAGCAGAGGAAAGAACCGGTGCGAAATGTTGCCAGACACATGCGTCAAACGGAAAGAGAAAAATCTCCGGAACAGCGTAACAGCCGTGAAGGACGCGGATTATTCCGCGAGGTCCAGAGCGCGTAGGGTGGCTGGCCCGCTAAGGGAGAAATATACGGTCCGCGTCGGGGATATAAGCAAACGTCCGCGGACATGCATTTTAATTCCGCCAAGTCCGCGTTCCGGGGGAGTAGATTAAAAATAGTGTCCAGGTCTCCAGATTCGCGCGGACGTCATAGGGAAGCCGGAACGCGTCCAGGTGATCCGCACCCGGTCTGCGCTGCTCCGCGCTGCTCCGCTCCGTTCCGCGCCGGACCGTCTGCACGCCGCGCAGAGACAACTTGCAGGCCACCTCATTAGCGGCGGAAAAACTCATCCTAACGAGGCTACGTACCTAATGACGAGAACCACGCGCGCGCTCTTTCGTGTATGCCTATTTACCGGCGGCCCTGCCGTGCGGCTGCTACGTGGCCACCGTGGGCTGGATGGCAGACCAGACCGTCCTCGTGTCTGTACACTGCCGTTCATAAGTCACCGGACACTTTGCCGCTTCGGAACTTCGTCATTTTCTACCGAGACTCGCGCTACGATGCCTCCTCTTCCTTGCTGTTCCAAACATGGACCGTGGAACGGTTTGAAAAATATCAGCCCAAGACGAATTTTATCCGAAATTATACAGGGTGTCGAATGAAGATGTCTCGTAGTCCGGAAATCGAGGGTTCCTGGGGTCGTCCGAAGGAACTTTTTCCTTAGCGTAAATGCAATCCGCGGCTTTGTTTACGAGTTATCAACGAAAACCAGCGACCGATGAGAGAGGTGAGATCAGCTGACGCGAGACGAGCCAATGAGCGGAACTGGGCTGCCTCGCGCCACTCGAGCTCGTTTCTTATTGGTCGGTGCTTTTCGTTAATAACTCGTGAACAAAGCTGCGGATTGCATTTTCGTTAAGGAAAGAGTTACTTCGAATGACCTCAGGAACCCTCCATCTTGCGGATTGCGAGACATTTTTGTAACAATCTGTGGAAAAATGAGATAGAGAGAACGAGGCGTGTTTCTAAACTCGATTTATCTAAATCTTCCGATCTCTAGCTAAACCCGATTTTATAGGTTTAATGTGTATTTATAAGTCGAAAAACTTGTTCTTACGTAGCAGTTTGAATATGTTTCTCTGTCTTCTACTTTCGCATCATAAGCATAGGAATTAAAATTGGAACGAAATTTCTTTACAGCGTCAGAAGATCGCGTTTATTCCAGAGAACGTTTTGGTACGTGTTGGTTGAATAATTTTCGGAAATGAATTTTAGGAGATTGATAATACCACGGACGTAGAATGTTCGCTGTGCAGTTGTTACATTATGAGTTTGGCTGTTTCATACGTCAGCATACTTCTTCGGTAGACGAAATACAGATTTTTGAGGATTTATCTTGAATTATCCTAAAAGCATTTTTCTGTAAATGTAATTTATCACGATCATCCAATGATGCCGATAGAAAACCGGATTCACCGTGCTGTTCCATATTTCTCATTTTAAAATCGTCGCAATTATAAAGATACGATTGAATAAACTTCTTATTCAAAGAACATATGGTAATAAAAATTAATATAAGCTTAATAATATAATAGTAATTAAAATAGTTTAAAATAATAATTAATATAGCTTAATTAAAAAAGGTGCATCCCGAAGAACCCGAGGCAGTGATCGATAAACAATGTTGAAGAAATTGGAAATTGTTTTATAAGTTATTCTGTAAACCGTTTGGAAAAGGATCTGTCCGTCGCGGAGATTGTTTAACAAGCGTGCAAGTTTTGCAAAAGCGGCGACCGACTTATGAACGGGAGTGTACGTGTGGCCACGTGTGGGGTGCACCTTGTGCGCCCACTGGCCCTATACGTACTGGCTCTACGGCAAATTAACGAGCGACGCGCAGGGAGGATATACGACCTCCTGGTTGATATTAGAGGCACGTGGCGCCAATGGCGCTGCTGCGCCAGGATGCACTTGCCAAAGGATTCCGGGACCGAAACTCGTCGGATCGTTCCTGGACGACAAATATTGACGCTGACGCGCGTGAACCGCCTTCGTCTTTCAGCGGAACACGTTTACACTGGAAACAGCAAGTTTTCGAGGTAACTTCGCGACCGGTTGCGGGAGTTCTCGGATCCTCTCCCATTCTCCTATCAATCGAAATATTCTCCTCTGCGAAGCAGATAGTTGCTCGTAATAACGATTCAGCTTGACTCCGTGTACAATCGAATGTTAATTGTAGCACAATTTAATTTACATGATATGCGTCGAAATTTTGCGATCAGTGATCTATTTCTGTAAGAGATCAACAGACGACTCGAACGGTTATGTAACAAATTAGTATCATGTATCATATATCATATATATATTATTTTATTTATTAGTATATTAGTATATTAGTTAGTATTATTATATATATTAGTATATTAGTATATTATATATAACATACTAATATATTAATACATATACTAATTATAGTATATATAGTATATAATATAATATATATAATATAGTACACATTGCGTAACAAATTAGTGGCCACGTGGCTCGATATATTCGGTATAATGCATCTTTAACTACAAACGATCGTAGATAAAACGCAGGACGCGCGTGAGACGGTATCGTGTCAAAGAATCAGTAGATTGGTCGCGATTGTGGTCAGACAGCTATTAGCAGAGGAAGTAAAATCGATGTCTCTGTTCTAAAGTAATTGCGTACATAAACAAAATATGCGTACGTGTTCGATCGAAATCAGACAGTTGATTTGTTGCTTTGTCACACGAACTAGAAGCTGAGAATACTTGTTCACACAATGGAGTGCTCGCGTGATTCTTACCGCTTCTAGCACGGTTATAGCTGTTCGTAGAGCGGCGTGATTTGAATGTGTACCCTGCTCTCTGAAGCCGATAGAATACTTTTAAAACAATAACGAACATCTATGCCAACCGAATAGCATTTGGACACCTGCAAAATGTTTATTACCGCATTTTTTACAACAGCAGTCTTTTCGTGTGTCCTCGCAATGGATATTAACACGTCGAATGCCACGCCGGTTTTACAGAAATTGTCCGTGGCGCCACGATGAATTTTCTTTTATGCGATACATATAATGATGAAATATTAGCTGCGATAGATAAGTTACAGTGTATAACCATGTTTGACGTGTTAATTGCGACAGGGGCCACTGTTCGAATCGACGATGGTAATAATAGAAAATTTTAGATATTGACATTTGTTTGAAATTATATATATTTCTATCATGGCGTTACCGCCAAGTTAAGTACCGGTCACCGGTGACCCCCGTGGCATTCAACGTGTTAAAAACGAGTTGTTAGACTAACAATACTCTCTTATAAGGAACGACTGATCTAACTGTAGTGTAAATTCTCCCTAATTGTCGTTCAGCTTGGAAACAAAAATGAACGATTTGGGAAGAGGAGGCTCGTTATTCTAGTTACCGATTACCGACAACTATAAAAACGAGCCGCAAGGCTGGAACAATCGTACCTCCTCTTCCAAAATTGTCCATTTTTCGTTCGAAGCTCGGCGTCGATTAGAGAGAATTTACTGTAAATTCAAAATCTGTAAATGTCCGGCATTTTCGATGCTATTGAAAATGGGTACTTTGTATGTTTTACGGCCTTGTCCGTTTTTCAGGTAAGACGGCCCTTGCGGCCCATCTGCAGGGGACGCGAGCGCTAAACGCGCGATTCGACTCGAGTCGAGCAAATTTTGACTCGAAAGCGGATTGGTTATTTATGATAATTATTTGCAAGCAAAAATAATCAACAAAAGCAAATCTTCTAGAACCAAGAACCAAAAAACCAGGAGACCCAAAATGCACACACGGCATCGCCCCGTCACGAAACCGCGATGAAAGCCACGGGATAACCTCGTCGAATGACGTGACAACACGTGTCGCAAGCCAGCATCGTCGAAACAGGCAAGGGCAGCGGAAGCCAGGCGGAAGACACGGGTTCGCGGAAGAGGGCGCAATGAATCCCTTTTACCTCGTATAAAGGAGCGCGGGTCACTAATCAAGATTAGGATCTCCTAGGCGACGGGCGAGTCTAGCTGGATGATCCAGTGGCCGGGGGTGGGTTGGAGGAGAGCGTTCCGGGCAGAGAATGGAGGCGGAACGAGGTACCAGGGGGTGGAACACGGTCCGCCTAATACGGTCCAGCGCGGAAGATGCAAGAATCCGGGGGAATTACACGAGCGGGTACAAAATGAATTTTTACGGTAGCCCCGCGAGGCCATCAGCGTTTCTAACGCGCGGCCCGGCCAGAGACCGAGCCCCGCCGGGGACCCGTCTACTTGCCGCGATGCTAACGAAGTTTTATGAAGCGCGATAGCGCCATACCTACGCCGTCCCGTGGACTTTGGCGCTCCTTAATTTGTGAACGCTGCGCGCGCTGTGTCGGCCGACGCGGTGCCGCAAAAGAATGGTATGTCGGCCGACAACGTGATATATCTTCGGTCCTGTGCCCTGGACCTTCGCCGAGCACCGCGGACCGCAACCGTGGGTATACGGTAGCCTACGTCTTCGCACTCTTTAGCGGATCCACCGCTCGCTATACTGGGTGCTCCGAGTGCACTTAACCGATAAACACGATTAATCCATTTGCATCCGCGAGCGTAATAATCCGCGCGCCGTGATCGTCGACTATCATCGATTACGGAATAGTACGCACGGTGTATACTTGTTTACGACCTTGTTGCGATACAGGCAGAGTCCGCGGTGCCTGCGTATTACAGCTGACTAATCTAATAACTAATCTTAAAAATAGTTAATTAATTGGTGATGGTTGAGATCAAATTAATCGAATTAATTCGATGTCCAAAGGGCTAAGAGAAATGCAGTCTCTTCGACGGAGTTGGTAAATTGACGCAAACTTAGCCTTGGGGTGCATGCTAATGTTCGGCGGAATCGGACACCTAGCATCGGAAGATCTGGTCGATATGTAGGCGTCGTACGGTTGCACTTTCGTAAGCTTTATGGAAACTGCTCGAAACGAACTGCTCATCGACCGTTTGAATCGCTTCGGCATGGTTATACCGATTAAACAGCTGTACATCGCGTGCGCGACATGTAGACAGATATTTTTCTATATACTCCTCTATCTCTTCGTACTTCCACCACTCGTAACACGACGACCAACGTTGCATCAACTGGTAAACGTATAAGCATTTTTTATGGTCACGACTTCGAACAGTCAACATGTTATATTTCGGTGAAACTGTTTTTCATAGCTCCGCCATATTAATTTAGCAACGAGCATTGGACATCCACGAGTGAGGGATAAAACACATCGAACATCCTGATCGTCAGTTATGCCATAACAGAAATTCGAGTACAAGAATATCGGTGGATTTGCCAGTAATGATTCGACGGTAGAACCTTCGGATAAAATATCCAAATTAATCATGGGATCACATTGAACGATAAAACGTTCACTTAGACACTGTTAAATTACATACTTTACTGACTCTTACAATAAATACTGTTGTATATAGATCGTCTTTCATAAACGAGTATCTAATTAAACCTTCGCAATACCAATTAGAGCGAGGACATCGGAGATAACCTATGAATACGTTGACTACCACATCGACTAAACATGTTGGCTGTCACCTAAACATGGCCGATGAAAAGATTTGACCCTTTTAGTGGCAGTCGTAAATGTTGTGTATACTTGCAAGCAAAAAAGAAAACGAAGCCAAGTTGACGTAATTTGATAAGCTCGGAGCAAGAATGTATAACATAGCTGTGAAGAGTACTAATTAAAAAATTCTCGTAAACACACACAGATACACTAAGAAATGAAATTTTTATTTTTTAACCTTTTAGGCACGACGCGCCACTATAGTGGCTTTCGCGGATGTCATCTCTCTGGACGACGTGCTACTAGTAGCTCACTCGCTTATCATTTGAACCAAATAATCGTTTTCATATGCATCGTTTCACACTTCTTTTGTCTTCGCATCGATTTACAACAGTCTACAGGGTGTCACAAAAATGTCTCGCAATCCGGAAATGGCGGGATCCTCGGATCATTCGAAGCAACTTCTTCCTTTACAAAAATGTTCTCCGAGGCACCGTTAACGAGTTATCAACGAAAAACAGTGACCAATAAGAATCGAGTACGACAGACGCGAGGCGGCCCAGCCAACCAGCGCGCGAAGCCCAGTTCCGCTCATTGCCTCGATCGCCTCGCGCCAGCCGAGCTCGCCTCTCATTGTTCACTGTTTTTCGTTGATAACTCGTTAACGGTGCCTCGGAGAAAATTTTTGTAAAGGAAAAAGTTGCTTCGAACGGCCCGAGGAACCCGTCACTTTCGGATTGCAAGACATTTTTGGGACACCCTGTATATACAGACAGAATATACAGAGAAATAGTCTCGCGCAGAATTCAGCCGTACCTAAAATGTTAAAAATATTAAGAAAACAAACTTTTCTCAAATACAGCCATCAACGACATAACATTTTTTGGTACCATAAGGGTGAAAATGCATCTGGTTAGTATACATATAGAAGATGCAAGAGGATCGACAGATTACCCAGTATCGATATAAACGAACTGCTTCGAGTGTATACAATTTTTAAGTTCGTCGAACCGGCGATCAAGGGATCTAAGAATCAACGACATCAGAAAACGGGACACGTTCGGCGTCATCGTTCCTCGCCACGGTCCGGTATAATTAATCACTTGCCCAAAAAATTTCCAGTCGACAGGCCCGCTACAAAAATGGAACAAAAACCTGTGCCCTAAGTTCGGCACCCCCCGGGTTAAGGGTGGGGCGAAGTTAAGTTATTCAAATCGTGCGTTGCCGATGAAAGCAGCTCGCGCCCGCTCGGATCCGCGCTCGTGGAAAGCTCGCGGCGGAAGGTCGCGTTCCGCCGTAGCCCGGGGTCGGCAGCTCGCTTAACAAGGATCCAATTACGCGGGTTTCGAATCGCCCGCGGGCGGGAACGCGCTTCTTTCCCCCGGAGAAGAGCCGAGGAGAGGATATCCCCCGTGCACGGTTCGGTCCGGGGCGGATCGGCCCGCGTCTTCGGATATTCCCGCGGCCGAATAATCCTCCCCGGCTTCCGAGTGGCATCTTAATATGGAAGTTGTCGGATTCCCGGCTCGATGCCGCGATAGCGCTCCTTAAGCAGCCTCGGCGGAATTGACGAGGCTCGGGAGAGGACTCTCGCTAGCGCTCGGAGACGGAGAAGCCGAGGAAAGAAGGGATGAGAATGGCGGGGAAGGAGGATGAGACGGAGGGTGGTTAGGGAAAAAGTATTTGGGCCGAGTGCCGCGGATTTTAAGGGGAATCGCATACCAGCCGGGCCAAGGAGACAGGGTCCCACGGGAGCCGAAGGGTGGAAAGGGCGAACCAGGCCGGACCACGAGAGACGGCCACTAAATATTGTGTTCGCGCAGAGAATACAGCTCTTGGGACACGTGTAAGCGGGACCGCGGGATTCCGTATGAGCAGATCGGCCCGCCGATTATACGCTAATTCAACGCAAATTCCTTCCCGGAGATATCTGTATCGCTCGCATACATCAGAGCCCGCGGTAGCTGGATGCAGTTGCTGCCGGTTGCTGCTCCTGCTCCTCGCTGCTCCTCGTTGCCGCTAGCTCGGCTGCTGTTCCGCTGTTCTCCTGCTCTGCTGCTGCTGCTGCCTGCTGCTGCTGCTGCTGCTTCTGGCTTCGGCCTGCGCCGCCTCGCCGTGCCTCCGGCTCTGGCTTAATCAGTACCCACAAGGAGACAACTATATACCCAACGGCTACATAGTTTCGCACACATATGGCATCCACACGTCGACCCCGGGCCGGATACCGGGACCCGTGAAATCGGCAACTCCTTTTTGCACCGACTTTCGGGACCACAAAGATGCCCGGCCGCGCGCGAAACCGATGCCACGTACTAATTAATCCGCCAGGAGATTCGATTATGATATCGGGCACCGGATGCGCGCCGGCGACCGCTCCTCTCTGTCAAGTCTACTCTGCGATCGGAGCGTCCGGATTCGTGGTTTGTTTGGGGAAGTTTGGAGCGGTTGAAACGAGTGAAGGAAGAGCTTAGGTGCTGCCTGACTTCGTTTTGGTTTTTCGTAGTCGGATCGATATGTGCGAGGGAATGTTTGTTTTGTTTAGAGAGACTGTTCGACGAGGTTAAAACGTTTCTCGACGATGCTGCAATTTTAATTCCTCCTTTTAGAGGGATACTTTGGTTTTATTCGGTAAATTATTTCGTTCGGTCGTTGACAACGCCTGGACTTCTCTGGGCGCCTATGAGCGACCGACAAATTTGATAAAAAATTATTATTATCATTATTGTGATTATTAACCGACGTTCCAGTGTTCCGACCGTTTCTGTCGAAGGTTGTCCCTGCGACGGACATAATATTTTAAATTGTGGTATTACATTGTTGTACGATGAGCTGCGCCGCATCTGGCGAGAGAGTGCGACGACTGTCTACTGTCTGCGTTGCCTTTTTCTTTGAGGCTCCTACGGCCAAAAATTTTGTTCTTTAGTTAGTTGTCTGCGGACGAGCGAGGTGTGTAGTTGTGCCTACCGAACCATTACTCGTAATATCAGTCAGCTTTATGTGTGTTTTCCTTTTCTTTGTTTTCAATAAAAATTAACTCTGTTACGATTATTTACGTTGCCTGTAAAAATTCAACAATTTCAATGTGAATCCGAAGCTCGTCGTCCTAAGCATAAGTTGCGGTTGAATCATGATACGCAGCATGCACTGTGTGGATAAAAATCTGCCGTAGTCAACGGGTTAACCCCTTGACATACCATTTTCTTCGCAGTTACCGCGATTAGAAATTGTTCGATTGCAATAATTTCTTCGAAGGGAAAGAAGATTGATGCTTATTGCGAGCGTTTTACTCGAATGCTTAAATATCGATTACAATTGATTAGAATTTTATTCCAATTTTAAAGCACAGAATAACATCTATACTCGATAAGTTATTATTAGAAATTTTCATGACGAGTCGGACTCGTCAAAGTAGAGACATTAAGAGAGAGGTTAAGCGACAATGAGTTTATTCGTAGGATAAAAATCCTAATATTATATATATATATATATATATATATATATTATATAATATTCAATTTTGGCCAGCGTCGAAAAAAGCAATGAAATATCCTAGAACTGTTTCTGCCAGCAACAAAACGCGCCAACTACATTCATCTTTCAATCCTGAGATAACGTAAGAACTCCCACGTGCTTGAATAATTACGGTTATTGCTGTATGGAGATATAGCGTGGAATCCAGTGGGAGCTAGGCAAGAGGAAGGTGGTCAAGCGTACAGTCGTCAAAAGCGTCGACAATGCCGGAGTCGGATACAAAAAGACAATATATCTCCCGGCCCGTGGTTAAAACACCGACCGACAATGCTCGAATGCACCGTTACACGTTCAAAGAATAACCCCTTTAATTCTCCGAGACACCAAGGAATGTCCGCAGCCCGGCGGAGTCTCTCGTTCTAGCAGGATTAATCGCGATCCACCGAACAAACCCATAAAGAGGAGAATCGTCGATAGGCCACGACCTCGTGCAACATAGTACGCGGAACAAAGGCTCGCACAAATCACTCGATACCACGCGGACGTTAAAGGTTCTCACGCATGACGAAGGCAAGGCTTGGGAGGAGCAGGTAGATACAGGGTGTTCGATTAGGCGCAGATTGTTTCACCGTTCTCAGCATCGTTGTCAGCACATTACGCGATCGAGGATTTTTCAATCTAATGGTACAACTAAATCGTACATGACATAGGTGATTTTATTATCAGGATATTCAATGACGCGACGCTGCAAAACTTGTTACAATGTTTATAAACACGATTCGGCGTCATGGAGAAATTCTTCCTGCACGCGAGCAATCCGATCTATTTCGGGTATTATATTCGGATTGTTAACCCTTTGTACCCCACTTTTAGTTCCAAATCCGAAATAATTTTTGTGGCCACAGTGTTTTCATGTTATATGTGACTTACAAGGCAGCATACTTAAGTATGATACACGCCGATTTTTATGAAACTGTGGGATAAGATGGATAGTTTAGAAAAATATTCGAGACATATTTTTTTTATCGGTCTCCATTCGCAAATTGTGTGGGTCGAATATCTCAGAAACTATTAGAGTTAGAAAAATGGTTTAAATTGCACAGTTGTGTACGTTTTAATAAGAAGTTCTATATTTCACGATGATTTTCTACTCGTTGAATTACTCGCATTTAAGGTCTTCGTATTGCAGAAAATGCCAAGCTCTTTAAACAATGATGAGAACTTTACGATACTAAAATAAAAATTTCATTTCAGAATATTAAATAACATTTTCTGATTCATTGCTGTACATAATCTTTAGTTAAAACATGCTATCATTTTGCTTCACTATATTTTTTTAAAAACCCTTTTTACGAAATGTATAAAAACAAAATCTTGATTGTAACATCGAACAAGTAAAAATTACGTTAACTTTAAAGTGAACCACCGTTTTGTCCCGGAACGTGTATCGAAAAGTATTCAAAAGTGTTTTATCTAATAGCCCAATTTCCAATATGAGCGATAAAAAGAAAATATCTATCGTTATCCCGTCGCATCCATGTCTGAACAATTATAGCCGATCAAAAGAGCGTCCGCTGAATATCTCTGAATCTTAAAAAGGGGAAGCAATCGAGAGTATCTCTCCGATACCGCATGTTTGATCGAATCGCGGTTATCTGTAATCGAGCAGCCGGCCCTCTGCCATCGGCGGAT